AGAGGGGAAGTATTGGGTTTCCCAGGTTGTTGCTTGAGCCAGCTCTGTTTGTGTTGCTAAGAGGAACTTGGCCTAGATATTGAATCAGGCCTTTGTTGTTGCTGACTGCCCCTGGAAGAACATCGACATTAGTAAGAATTTTATTTCCTTCTTATTCCCTACCTGTTGCTTAAAAAAACTCTTAAGTTCATTACAAGTCTTCCGCCTGCTTTGGTTACATAGTGTGCAAACTGCTGTGGGGCCCTCTGCTGGCTAGCTCACCTGAAATGTCTTGACTTTGCTTAACGAGAAGTGGGCTGTGTGCCCACGAAAGCTCCTGATGTCATCTCCATGTGTTAGTCTATTAAGTGCTACCAGACCATTTGTTGTTTTTTAAGTTTATCCTGTACAGACTAACTCGGCTACCCCCTGAAGTTAAAGAATCAGTGTTCTGCAAGGTGCTGGGGAGCGGAAGGGGCTGGTGTCCTCTAGAAGCACTCACTTACATCAGCCTGTTAGTGACTTTCAGTGCTGGTGTGTCTCCTGCAGTAAGCCAGAATGATATCATGTTGGGGTAGCTGTGGCAATGAAATGAGGCCACACTGCAGAAAAGCCAAACACTTTAATGCTGCCAGAGCCGTCACCATGCAGCACTGGTCTCTCCCAACACAACAACACTTGCCATCCCCCAGTCTCTCTCTCCAAACACACCCACTTACATCCCAGAATCCCAGCTGCAGGAGGAAGGCAAGCCACTACATATGTGTGTAGTTTACACTGACATGTTTTTGTAACTCTTACTCCCCATTTCCCTCCTCCAATCCTTGCTGTGTTAAGTCTAATTAAGCCATCATCCTGCAAATACTTATGCCTATGAGTAGTCTCGTTGACTTCAGTACCTGCCCAGTCCTCTGCATTTCCCTTCTGTGCCCTCCTGTCATCAGCTCTGCCCACTTCTCTGTCCCCTCAGGCTTTTCATATGCCCTCCGTGCATCTTAGCCTTCACCCCTTCCCCGCTCTCTGGTTCTCTGCACCTTTTTCACGCATCCAGCTGATGCGCTTCGGGGGGAGGGGGGGGACTGGCCCAGCGGGATACCGGGAATTTCCCATTGGGCCATCCTTTGAAGGGCCGGCTGGCAGCTGCTGAGGAGGAGGGTGATTGTGATGGGGCACCGCAGCCCCACACTTTAAATTCCTTGGCGCCGGCCATATATGGGGCACAGTGGGGCCAAGGGACCGCATGCGTGGTGTGCTCAAATGCTGCGCAACAGCTGAGAGGGGAGATGCCCGGGCATGGCGAGATGTCATGACCTGGGACTTTAAAACTGCCCGGCCCAGAGTTGCACCACGTGACCCAGCTCCAGGCCCGGCAAGTGGTCTAGAGTCCGGGAAGCAGCTGGGGCCAGGGCTGTGGGGACTTCTGGGACCTGATCACAAACTCCAGAGCAGCAAATTGGAAGGCAGAAGGTGGGGGAGGAGAGGGGGGAAAAAAGTAAGGAGTGGGAGAGGAAGGGGCTTGTGCTGAGCAGAGGGGGGCAGGTTAGGAGAAGAAAGGGGAAAGCACCAAGGGACAGGGTGGAGGAGAGACAAATGCCGGGGGGCCAAGTGGAGCAATGAGCCACTGAGAGCCCTGGTGCAGGAATAGGTTGGGGCTCCCTTTCCTCACTTGAAAAAATCTAAAATTTTGACACCTTGGAAAATTGGAATATAGCTGTCTTATCCGTCAATGTGCCAACACATGATGTAGGTGATCTTACATAGGAAAATACTACTTACACATGTCTAGAACATTTAACTAAAACCTTTGGTTTCTAGACTTTTGATCAGCAAACAGGTCAGTTGTTTTTGATGTACCAACTCTTCTTGCTTGTTCATTTTCTACTGGAAGAACTACTTGTCTTGATAACCTTCTTACTTGCTTTATTCTCAGTTTCATAATAAGGCATCTCTTTGTCTGAGAGTCACATGAGAATGGTCCCTCTGGTTGACACGGGCTGGGTTTTACAATCAAATGTTTCTCTTCTGAGTTCAATTTTTCAAGTACATTTTAACTTGTCACTGTGATTTTTCTTTAGAACACTGAACTTCCCTGAAATCAGACATTAGGATATCATGAGTTACTGCAGAGGCATTAATCTTTTTTTATTCTAAACTGAGTCTTCACCTTCTAGTTTAAATATCATGGGGCTATCAAGATTAAAAACATTTCAACACAGTCACTGTCAAAACTTTCCATGAGTTTGTCTCTGGTAGCTGAAGATATTTTGCATATATCTACAGTAGTGACAGTGTTAAGAAAACCTGCCCAGGGCTGACAAGCTCTTCCACTGTCAGCTCTGGGCTGCTGGTGTTTAATTTTAATCACTAAAAAATTCAGATTTTTATGGATTTTTAATCTGAGAATTTGGGGAGGGAGGTTATTCTGAATAACTAGGGGACCGCTGGTCATTACTATGCACAATGTTGTGGTGGAGATAGAATGCTCACACTCATACTCCAGAAGCACAAGCTCCTATCTAACATTGGCAAATCATAATTCATTCTTAACTGTGATGATGGGGCCTATAAAACTCAGGGTACATCTAGACTGCGGTGGTTTTCTGGGATACCGGTGGTATCCTGGAAAAACTCTTCTGCATCCAGGAAATGCGTTTGCTCTTCTGCTTTTTTTTTTTTTTGCGGAAGAGCAAACAAACTCTTTCTGAAGCCTTGTCTTCCTCATTCTATGAGGAAGAAGGGATCTTCATAAACAGGGGGATTTTCCAAAATTTGGCCCAGTGTAGACGGGCCAAATTTTGGCAAAGCTTCTTCTGAAAAATAATCGGAAAAAGGAACGCAAAATGCGGAGCATTTTGTGTACTTAAAAAAAAAAAAGAAGGTTTAGTGTAGACTTAGCCACACTGAAAAAACTCAGAGGGCAACGTGCACACACATTACTCCCAAGCTATGTTAAAACAACAGTAAGGTTTCAAAGTCCAGTGCTCAAAAGTGAAAAAATGCTCCAATTCAAATTGCTCATGCAACTTTAGCTTGTCAAAGCCACACCTCAACTATTGCTTTCTTCTGAAATAATTTAAAAACAGTCATGCCCCTGTATGGAATGAGGAAAGGCAGCTGTGAAGTTGTGAAGCATTATTTAAATGCTCAGATATGAGGCGCTGACCCTCGTATTCCTCTGAGCAGGAGTTGCATGCATGAGTAGTGCCCTTTGAAGCAAATGGACTGAAGTCATTGGGTCTGTCTGCATCAGTAGCATCTACCTGAATGAGTAAGTGTTTGCAGGATCAGTGTCATGCTTAATCAAGAGCTTGCTCAAACACCATCCCTTTTCTCTTCACTCCTACTTTGCTATCATCCTGCAACATCACATTCTTTTGAGATGGAATTGTTGCAAGGCCCATGCGATATCTATGGGAATATCATAGCACATTAAAGGACAATATGGGATTAAATATTAAGACTCTACCTGGCCAAACATTTCCAAATCCAAAATGAAGCCAGCACTTCCTTGTAACTTCCCCCAGCCCTACCCCTTGGCTGTGTCTACATTGGTGTGATCTTGCGCAAAAGCAGTTGCTTTTGCGCCAAAACTTGCTGCCTGTCTACACTGGCCGTGAGTTCTTATGCAAGAACACTGATGTTCTAATGTATGAAATCAGTGCTTCTTGCGCAAGAACTATGAGGCTCCCACTCAGGAATAATCCCTCTTGCACAACTGTTCTTGCGCAAGAGACCAGTGTAGACAGGGACCATGAATTTCTTGTGCAAGAAAGCCCGATGGTTAAAATGGCCATCAGAGCTTTCTTGAGCAAGAAAGCATCTACATTGACATGGATGCTCTTGTGCAAAAGCACATGCCAGTGTAGACGCTCTCTTCTGGAAGAGTTTTTGCACAGGAACTCTTCTCAAAAGAGTTCTTACGCAAAATCATGCCAATGTAGACGTAGCCCTTTTGCCCAAAGCTCCTCCCTTCCTGAAGACCCAGAGCCAGCTCCCCCACCAGGCCCAGAGAAGCCTCTCATTAGCTCTCTCAGGAAGCTATTGTTTCAGAAGCTAAATCCTGTTTTCCAGGTGCAATTTTTTACTGCAATTAATAGCCTATAGATTTCTAACAACTTGACATGTGTGCAGTTACCTTCAGAATTGTAGTCACAAAAAAAGGAGGCTGAGTTGAGAAGCTGTCACAGGGTAGGGTTCCCTTAACCTGAACTCCTTACTCACACAGTCCTTGCAAAGAACTCATGGCAAATTCTATACCACATTCTTTATTTACAGCATGACTACAACAGAACAAGTTCCCCAAAGCTTTAGGGTCTTACATGCTCCCTGTTGCGCTGATCAACCCACTGCCTTTCTGCCCTCTGGGATTCCCCACCATCCTGTTTTGCTGGTCCAGAAGCTCTGGTCTTCCCCAGCCAAAGCACAGAGTTTGGGTGGGTGACCAGCCCCTGCAGAGCAACACAGACACTGAACCAGTTCATCTTTGGGAGAGCTCAGCTATAAGGCCACTGACAGCACCCAGGAACACAGCCCCCAAAAGAGGACAAAACCGCCAAATAAATCCATTTTACCCTATGTATGGTACCCTACACTGCCACCCTCGTCCTCATTGCAGGAGGAGTAACGGTAGTTCGAATTAGGAGCTTTAATTCGAACTACCTAGCCCATGCCGCGTGTAGCTGCGGGCAGGTAGTTCGAACTACGGGGCATTTAAAAATGGCGGCGCCCGGGAACATGCAAATAAAGCCCGGGATATTTAAATCCCGGGCTTCATTTGCAAGTTTGAATGACTACATTAGCCACCCTAGTTCAAACTAGGGTGGCTGGTATAGACATACCCTAAAAGTTATACACAGAGAAAGATCATAAATATGTTCACCCTCTTAACAATGAAAGAGAGTCATGCACAGTAGTTGCTTCCTGTCCCCCACCCGGTAACAATTATTTACATTGGGCTGGATAATAAACAAAAGTGTTTTTATTAAGTATAAAAAGTAGGATTTAAGTGATTGCAAGTGAAATAGACAGATCAAAGTAAGTTACTAAATTAAATTAAACATAAAAGACACCAACTAATTCTAATCCACTAAGAAACTTGTTACATGCAAATTCTTACCCTAAGCAGTTGTTCTTATTTAAGGTAAAATGCTTCAAGTCAGAGTTGATCTTTACTCTGGGTCACTGGGTCTACAGCTTTTCAGAGTTCTTTAGAGTTCTTTGTTTTCAGGTTTCTGCATGTGTATTTCCTTAGGGTGAGCGAGGCAGTTTCCAAAGGCCAGCTGAAGAAAAAGACCTAATTGCTTTCCCTTCCTTAAATAGACTTTCCCCCAGGGTGGAAAAGTACTAGACCCAAGATGGATTCCAGTACCAATATTACGACCAACCATAGTTTGAGTTTATAGGAAAAATAAAAATCATTCATGGGTCATTGATTTGACTACTGAGCCATTGAGATCCTGAAGTATCACTTATAACCCTCATTAGCACATTTAGAATTAAAACCAGATTCACACTTCATATTTCTAACTTCTCCTACAAGAATGATACATACACAAAAACAGGACATACAAATTCAACAGATTGTAACTTTAAAATGTGTTACAAGATCTATTTTGCGTAAAGCAGTTCTGAGTTATGCATGTTCAATTTTCATAAAGCAAGGGGGCGCAGTGACAATCATGTTTACACTTTGTTCCTTAGCCAACTTCTAGAGAACAAAATCTTACTGCATTGAATTCCATGTTGAAGAGGATGCTCATCAAAAGATGGTACTTCACTTACTGTGAAGTTGGTAGTCTTCTCTGGGCAGAGAATGAGAAATATTGCAGTGCCACACACACAAAAAATTAGCTACTGTGACTGGTACCTCTATAATTTTTAATGGTAATGCCCACTTGAATTTTGATTACTTCCACAACATTTTAAATTAAAAGGAGGATGAAACTTTTACTGGCTACATTTCTAATGCACTTTACAAACCTGCAGAGATGTCCTGCTCTGCAGTGGATGGAGTGTATGTTGAGACAACCGGTTCTAATTTAACACTACGAAGAGCAGGACAGTGTTTGCAGAGGTAGACTGCAATGTATTTTTGGGAACAATTATAAAGATATTTCCTAAACTTTTCACCAACGAAGGCATAGATCACGGGGTTGATACAACAGTGGAACATTGCAATGGCTTCTGACACTTGGATTGCTAACTCCAGCTGACCGCTGCTTTCACAGTTGTTCATGGAAAGTGACTCTTGAAAAGTGTACATGAGAACAGCAATGTTATATGGTGCCCAGAAGATAAAATAAACAACCATTATGACAAAAATAAGCCTGACTGCCTTGTGTTTTTTCTCATTCCTACATCTCAATAATGTTTTTATAATTGCTGCATAGCAGAAGATCATAATGACCAGTGGAATGAAAAGTCCCAGGATATTCATCTTTAATATCAGGAATTGCTTCCATTCTCTTTCATAACCTGATGGATAATGAGGGCTGCAGGTCCAACGAGTACCTTCCTTTTGAATACTGTGAAATATTAACCCTGGAAGAGAAGCTAATAATGTTACACCCCAAAGGACAACACTTGTGAGAATGCCATAAGTAACTGTCCTAGCTTTTAAAGCAAACACTGCATGGACAATTGCCAGATATCTATCGACTGTCAAAAGTATTATGAAAAACATCCCACTGTAGAAGCCAGCATAATAGACCCCTGAAAGAATTTTACACATTGCATTTCCAAAAACCCACTCATGTGCTGCATAGTAAGCCCAAAATGGTAGGGGAAAAATGAAAAGCAAATC